TACTATTTTTAATAGAGCCCAAAGAGCCCCAGTGAAGGTTTTCGCCATCCATCCAGCCTTGTCCAATGGCTTTGTAATAGAGATTCCATACAATATTATTCTTAATAGAGCCCAAAGAGCCCCAGCAGCCAAGAGATGGTTTTCCATTAATGCGGTTCCGGCATTCCTTATTCTGGGGGGGAGGGCCCCCGTTCTATTTAGATGCTCGGATTAATCTCTAAGTCAAGAGTGGGGGAGATTTTTAGATCTACCCTCACGTGCCCTTCGAAGCGCACGGATGCCTCAGCAAGGCCAGCAGGCAGGCGCTGGTCACTGCTGCGCGGCCCAGACCGCCCCAACCTCACCCAAAACCACAACCCATGCATCAACACTCATGAACCCTGATCTCTATCCTAGTCGGCTGAGCTGAGACATCCGTTGCCCCCTTTCTCCGTTTCACGAGAGTGGGGTTTGCGAAGTCTTTACGAAGCAGCGAAGCCTCTCAAACCGAACTTCAATTCTCGACTTCAGGGTTCCCTATAACGAGACAGGTGAGATGAGAAGGCCAGAAAGCAGTGAACGTAAAGACACCCTCCGTTCTGCAGCTCGATCAGACAGTCCCGAAGAAGCCTGATGACAGGTTCACGAAAGCGGTTTCGGGGACGCAGTGTTCAGGCTTCGGGATTTGGGGTATGGGTCTGTGCATGCGGTAGCTTGGGTGCGGGTCCATGGGAGCTCAAACACAGCTGCAGAGTGTACCGGTGAAGTGTTGGGTTCTGCCTAGTACGGGCTCAGGGAGACGACGAGCCTCATCAGCTGCTCCTCCTTGGGAACGTGCATGTCTGGCACCTTGTGCCAGCCAAGAATGACAAGACACGGGCTTAGAATATGGAACTTCGGGAGTAAACTTGCTTGTCGTTCCGGGTTCTCGGAGCATCCGTCAAGTTTGTTTAGCTCAAACAGGAGCTCGAAACATGACCAATTGCCTAATGACGCCTGGGCTGCGCACCGGGCAGTGCAGGAATCGAGGAATCTCCAAGCCCATAGATGTGGCCTCCTCTTTCACAACCGGACCATAAGGCAAGAACCGCCGAGGCATGTCGACCTCCTCAGTGTTCAGAAGAGGGGCGAAAGCTCGCTCTAAGTGCTGTCCGGGGTCAACTCAGACTGGAACATAGACTTGAATTTGCTCAGGACTGGAGGCTGCGCGAGGCTGATTAAGATGTTAGAACACCTTGAAAAGGACAGTCCTGTCAGGAGTAATGGGTTATAATGCCAATCACCCGTGACAAATGCTGCGGTGGCTGCATTCGTCGTCCTCTTCCTCCTCCTGCTCCTCTTTTCATGCGAGCCGTAGCCATATATCGGTATACTCGACATGTGATGCTAGCTAGTTGCCCAATGATCCAAGTTGCCTGAAGTGACACGCCTTCCCATGGCCACGCTTTCAAGTTTTCTGGTGCAGGAGATGGGATCTCAGCTTGCATGCACACGAAAGCTGTTATGCCCACGTCGAGCATCTTCTTCAAATGTCGACGTCCATCCACCTTGCTCGGGAAGTCACCCAAGGGATCACAGTATGGATATCTTCCAACCATTAACACGTCTCGCAAAAGCCAGTTGCAGAAGCCCCTTTGGCTTCCATCACCTCTGGTGTAGCATGAAGGGAAGGCATAATAAGCCAAGTCATCCAGGTTCTCCCGTACTGGACCCATATCGCGAGACATGCGAATCTCGTTGGCCAGCACTTCCAACTCTTCCAATCGTGGAGCTGGTGCCGCACGCTGACCGAACCGGCGAATGCGTCGAAACCCGCGCCCTTGCGCACAAAGGGAGCCGAAGGTAAAGGACCGGGTGATGAGGGTGACACCAACGGCGCCTGCGAAGCACCCACTGCGCTGGACCAACCTTGCGCTTCGGTGATGTTGCTGGCCATGGGCCACGCGCGGTACATGTCGAGGGCAAAGTGCAGTCATGGTCAGTGTAGAGCGCAAACTACTCATACACCTACTGAGTCAACTCAGGCCCCTTTACAAGAAGACACCCCCATAAACACATCTCACCCGGTTTTGGCTACGATGTATTGTTTTGGCCTGGCAGGTGCCCGACAATTCTAGCATAGTCTAGTCTAGCCTCGCTGAGTCTAGCTGTGAAGCTGTGTAACTGCTTGCTACTGCACAAATTTGGCTGGCGCCTCTGATGCCATTTTCGTGACGAGGGTCGGTCGCCTCTACGATCGTGCTATTATTACACACATGACCCCATACCAGACAACTCATCGGCAAAGCGATGTGCGCACACTTCATCCGTGGTGGCTAGCTGTCTACGGAAGCGAGCCCAATCAACGAATCTGCATGCCAATGGGGCAGGGGACATACCGAGATGTTGGAAAACAACTGCGAGAAGACAACTAGTAACTAGAACCCTGCACCCATGAAACCAACTCCAAAGCACGCAAATGATTGAAGTACTGGATGGCGGCTTCCGGCTTCCGTGAGACAGATTCACTTCACAAGCTCACACAAATACCGATGGATCTGTATTGTCTGGCTTCAAGTGGCTGTGCATGTTCTGCAAACTTAACCTGCGCTGCCAGAGCTTTTCTCCAAGCGCGAAGTCTTGAGGCGACTTGTCCACGGTTCCGGGATCGTGATGGCTCGCAGCCCTGAGAAAAAGGAGTCTGTTTCGTAGAGTAGGGCGTTTATTGGATGAGTAGCTGAGTAGCCTGGGGCACATCCTAGAACCGCAGTTCAGCCTGCCAAGGGTGTCCGCTTGAGGGCGGCGGCAAAGCACTCAGCGACTCCGATGACTGTCTTGGTGAATCTCCGTGAGTCGCCTCGTTGGCAAGACAAAGCATGACTCTCGATAGGTTGCAAGCAGCGCGGCCTATGAAGCCTCCACGCAACCGCATTTTCGGGCGTCGTCGTAGGACGACTTCTGGATTCCCTATCCTTCGTGCGTAGCTTACTCGGAGCACTCACGCTTCGCTTAGCTCCTGGCCTTTCTCCATCTTGAGCTGCTGTAGCACTTTGGCAGGATCGTACCTAATGCACCCCGCATCGGCAGTGCAGTTCCATCTGTTGTTGGCAGTAGTAGTAGTAGTAGTAGTAGTAGTAGTAGCAGTACTAGTAGTAGTAGTAGTAGTAGTAGTAGTAGTAGTAGTCGTAGTCGTAGTCGTAGTCGTGGTAGTAGTCGTAGTAGT